CTGAGTGGGTTTGGTGTGGATGTGAGTTTGACTATCTGTGAATGACAAAGATGTAACAGGCGCTGAGACTGCAATGATGAGAGCGCTCCATCTCTGTCAGCTTCAGAATCAGAAATCAATCTGAGATATTTGTTGACTTTATTTTTGACTCATTTCTGGACATTTATTATTTATAACACTAATAAGAATTCTATTTAAAACTACATAAAGTAGTTCCTGTGTTTGTGTGAATATTCTTGAATTTAGTGATATTCCCTGCTTGTTAGCAGTCGAGCTCAGACTCTCCCTTTAAGAGCGTCTCCTGAGGCAGCCTCGATGTGGATGATGAATTATTTCCTGTCTCAGGTCTGAGCTGTACTCATGGGTCACTGCGCTCTGCCTCTGTCAACTTGACGCAAGATAGGTGAGCATGTCTTATGAAAAGCGACGGGCTCGATCGATCAGTTCAAAGTCGTATTCTGCCATCGATGTGACAGAGTTCCCTGCTCGATCAGAGTGATTTGTCTTCTCCTCATTTTTGCAGCAAGCACGTGCAGAGAAAGGTGTGTGATGTGTGCAGAGTTGTGTTTGCTGGGAAGGCCAGAGAGCCCATAATGAAAATGGCGGCGGAGACAAATGGCATTATTGAGCCCTGAAAAGCGCGCTCTCCTGTGGCTGTTGACTTTTCATAACAGAAACAATATTAGGATGTGTGATAAAATAAAAGCTTATCGTAGCACTTTTTCATCACATCTCCTGTACTGAAAACTTTCAGATGTGATTTAGTTCAGACTGCGGCCTAAAGACATCAGAAAAATAGACCGACTGGACTTTTATAGCTTTTTGTTTTAATGATTTAATATAAAAGCATTTTAAGGCTGTGGTGGCTTTAACACCAGGACCAGATTTCAGTCTTTCCACGCGCACACGAGGAGCGAGAAGTCAACCCACCATCTGCTTTCTTGCTGTCACGTCCATGATGGCAGCGTCACATGTGTGCAGCACGCAGACCAGCTGATAGAGATTGTTTGGTTGCTATCACGTGATCAGTGATCAGAATACTGAAAATGAGCAGAATATATTTAGCAAGGCCAAATTATGTATTCGTTGCATTTTTAGCATCTGAAATAAAGTCTAAATGTGCATGAACCTCATTAAAGTTAAAGTGTGGTGTCACGTGCTGATGTAGTGCAAGAAAAGTTCTGTAATTTAACTTTATGTTGTATATATTGGAAATATTTTAAGATTCTCTTCAGTGGTGCAAAAAATAAGAGACAGTATTTTTAGATTGAAGCTGATGTTGTGCTTCTGGTGACTTGGCTCCGTATTTTAAACGCTGATTAAATAGCCTCGGTAAACTTTGCTACACAGATAACACAGTAATGTTACTCATGAGCACTAGCTGCTACCATCATAATAATAGAAGGCTAATATTACTGCCTGGTAGTTGCTAAGTGTTAAACTCCTAACATTAACTTGTGTGGGGTTAATATTTATAGTAAGTGTCTAAAACTTGACTGTCATTGACACCGGAGCTCTACTGACCTCCAGAAATTCCTCAAAGACTTCATCAGTGTTTCGAGACTTTAGCTGATACTAGGGCTGCCACGATTAGTCGACTAGTCACGATTACGTCGACTATCAAAATCGTCGA